ACATCTGGTGAAAATTTCATGTCATTAGCACCTCTAGTAATATATTTACTGAGAAAAATGGGGGCATGTTCAATACTTATTTTACCCGCTGTATTTAGCTTAATCTTCATGCTTTTGTGTTCTATTTGCAGTGACAGTTTCTTATTCTTCTTTAATCAGCCTTTTTTCATTTTATATTGATTTGTTCTGCTATAAATGAACACCAACCCCCTTTCATTTCCCATGAATACCTGTTACTTTATTAGGTACACCTGTTCAGTGGTGGGCACCAGCCCGCTAAAGCACAAATCCGCTAAATGCGGACCTAAATATTTCATTTGCGCTTTAGCAGTCTTACTAATTATTATAAGTCATAAGCAGATTTGCGCTTTCTAAATTAAAAAGCAGTACCGCTAATAACTATCTACCAGTCATCATTATCTTGAACAGCAGAAGGTATGGCTGTCAATGAATCACAACACAYGTAATTTATCCAACAGCACCCTCCCAGATAAACACACTTATTGAGAAGGTATACATCTTTGCTGACTGTCGCTCTCGGTCACGGTTCTCATTTCCCACAATGCTTTGTGTCTGCTTACGTAGCAGGAAAGCAATAGCAAAAACAGTTAATGTTTGTAATCTATACTAAAATTTTGTATGTATTGATTTATGTTACTTTACAATCGGAGCTCCTTTTTTAAAAAAAAACATTTAAACGCTGGAGCTCAATACTTGATGTAATTGGTCGAAGCAATCGGCCAATGGGGTTAGAGACTCAAATGATTTAAAGATGTTATGCTGATGAAGACTGACATTAACTGGAGCAACTACATGGAAAACTTTAAAATCCAAGCTCTTATTTTGAAGGGAAGATGTTTCTTGCACTCCGTGCTTTCGTTTCCCATCACAAATCAAATCCGTCATGTACCCAGAATGCATCGCTTCAGTTTTCCAATAAACAGTAAAATTACTTTATTGATGCTTCTTTAATGAAAAATCTACAATAAACAAAAGAAAAAGACAAAGAAGCAGCCAAATTAGCAATCCTCAACAACTTTTTAATTTTTACASYAGGAGCTAAAGGTCTGTTTCAGGAAATCACATCCCCAGCAATCGGCGGTTGTAGGATTAAGCTGTAAAAGGATTCATACACTGCTAGTTGGCAGTGTTGTGCGTATATTGTACATGAATTATTACCAGCTAGAAAGTGTCAAATTGAACTTGCGCTTTAAAATTATCTTCCGCTAGTTTTTCTATGGCATAAGCACATTTGAAGTTGTGGGCCTAAATATTTTCATAAGCGCTTTAGAAATTGCGGAGCTAATTTTTGGATTAGCGCTGCCCACCACTGCACATTTTTAACACAAATAGCTGATTGGCCACATGGCAGCAACTTGCTGCATTTAATCTTCTGGATGTGGTTAGAATATGGATTTTCTCCAGCAACCATCTTAAGGATGTACAGGAAGCTCTTTATGGCTGGGAGTTAGACACCATCTGACCTCCTAACCAAGACAGCACGGAGCCAACTCACTACTGTTATCTTTGTGCCACAATGTGATGTAGTGATGACACAACAACTCAGATTTAAAAGTCTAAACAATAAACAGATTTATTGTCCTGGCAGAGATTGATAATAATGCACAGAAACATGTTTAATTAAAAATGCATCAATTACAAAGAGGATTGAAAATAATATGAGGGAAACCTCTGTGGACATTTATTGTTCAGCATTAGTTACTTGCCTCATTTCTGAAAGCTCACATCTCCGTGGGATGTGGCCAGCTCAATTAGTGATTTGTTMCCAGAGCAGGTAATTATTTTCTAATCTCTTATTTTACACCTTTAGTCAACCTGTGCAAACTGAACTCTTGGTTTTCTGTTGCTGGCTGAAAGGAGTGACACCTGTTGTGTTCTGCTGCCTTTCTAACATTCTGAACTAGTCTACTTGTTTGCATCCACACAGCTGCTGCTCAACAGATTTTCTTCTTTTCAGACCATTCTCTGCGAACCCTAAAGATGGTTTATGTGAAAATCTCAGGAGATCACCAGAACCATCCACATTTGAACTTCAGCAAGGCGTGTGCACCATGTCTAAATGCACCGAGTCGCTGTCCATGTGGCTGATTAGCCATTTGTATTGAACAATGGCTGGTAGGTGCTTAAAACTATGGACTTTAATTTTAATGCATCAGTGAGCTTTTGGGACTCGCTTTTCCAATTCTGCTCCTGAAAACAGAAGAATTCCCTGCAAAAAATAATGTTATGTTGGACTCAATAGCGATAAGTGCTATATATAAATATACACAAAGCCACAACTGTCTTAATTCTGGGTTTGACTTACTTGCAATGCTGATTTGTTTCTTACATGATAGAAGAAAGAAGACAGTCCCACAACAGTAAATGCTGTGTTTTTTTTTAAAGGTTTGGTACTTCAGTGATTTGTGTGGCATTTCTCTGGACAAGATAAAAGATCAGAGGTGTTTCAGCTTCACCCTCATGCCCTGGACAAACAAACAAAAACAAGAATGTAAAATGTCAGACCAGGCAATGCTTTCTAACATTTCAACACATTTCAAAATGTGAAATTTAAACAAATGTTATCAAATCTGGTATTGCTCTGTCTCTGGCTTATTCATTCCATCAATGCAAGAAAAAGGTCCTACACCTGAAATTTATTCATGTTGTCATTCTCTTTTCACTGTGTTAAAGGCATAGTTCAGATTGTKTGGTGTAATTAGGAATGATTAGTATGTTACACTCAGTAGTCTGGTCAAGAAAGCACATTTCTTCCATCCAAACATTTTGGAAGTTGCTGAATGTATCCTGCTTTGGATCACAGTGGTTCAAACAATAAGACCTTTCAAGAAAATACATAGTGCTTTGTGTGGTAAAAGGATATCTTCATGAGACAAATTATTTCGAGGTGTTGTGTGGAGTCATCAGTTTTGGAATTTCAGGCAGAAGGTCTCTCAAAGGAATTAAGGTAAGGCTTGGTCTGAGCAGGATTCAGACTAAAGTGGATTTCTGTTGTCTTTAGATGGCTCCATTCTCACATTTTATTGCAGTTTGTGCAAAAGCCATTTTAAAAACCTTTACACTGCCAGCTCTTTTACATTTGACAGCTGTCTGTGGTTTGTGATGACCAATAATCCATGTGAAACTTGTCTCAAAACACAAAATAGTTGCTTAGCCCAGTTACACATGATGGCCCATCTGACTGAAAAGGGATGGAGGTTTAAACCCCCAAATTCCATAGTAGTTCAAGCAAAGGCCATTTATTTTCAGCCAATTACTTTTTATGTTTCACACAAGGCCTTGGTGGCAATTGGACTACAAACTTTGAGGTAAATAATCCAAGATTTTTTAAATTAATGTTTGTGATGTGCTAAACATTTTCTGAGATTGGAGTTGTTTTGATGTAGCAAAAATCTGCTCTGAAATTTTGCCCCACTCTGGCTATACATTATAAACTTCTGCCTGATATTTCAAACTGCTGATCTTCCAACATTACTTTATAATAAAACAATTAAACCACTTCAAATATACAAACTAGAGAGTTCTCTATATTTATCTAAAAGTAGAACTCTCTCTCTCTCATATATATATATATATATAAACAAACACCATATCAATTATTTTAGATGGAAGACACTGTCCTGACTGAAGATGTTTGACTACCAAAAATAAACTAAGTACCTCTACATACAAAAGCCTACTCATTGGCTTTAAAATAAACAAAAAATTGTTTAGTTTAAAAAAACTAATTTAATAAAATGTAACTATGCGTAATTTGTCTTGCATCTTTCCCACTCCCAGTCAAAAACAAACAGAAAGAAAAAACGTACATGTCTTTGCTTTCTTTCCTTTTCCTCTTTTTGTACCAGATGGAGCAGCCATCCATGGACCAGAAGGGCCATGCCAATGTGCCATGGATTGTGGAGCCTGGTCAAGAGGCAAAGAGAGGAGTCAACACCAAGTACGAGACCACTATTTTCTAACATACACCCGCCTTGTCCACTCCTGTGTGTGTGTGCCTTTCAGAAGTTGCCCTGTATCGGGGCCCAGCCCCGGAGTCGGGCACAAGCGACGCACGCCGCCGTGTCACCTCACCGGCTGAAAAACAAAAATTCTATACACCTCACCTCGTCCCGCCCTCATTAGCCGAGCCTGTCCACTGCATGATGACCATTGGCGCTGCGATGTTTCTCTTCTTTTTGTTCTCCCCCTCCCTGGCCGGGCCTCATCCTCCTGCTTGCAGGGCTGGCGCATGACCTTTGAACCCAGGGTAGTGGTGCATTTCTGTCTCCACCTGTAGGGAGAATGGTCAGTTCAGTTTTTTCCACTTCCAGTCAGTCAACAAGTTTTTTGTTCTGCATTTAGTTTGTCTTTTTCATTCCTGGTAATTGGTACAACCATTTGGCTTCATATCTCTCCTTTTTTCCCCCTCCATCCCTCGCTTTTTTCGTCATTTCAGCCCCTTTGTCCAACTTTGACAATTTTTTTGAGATTCAACAAAGAAATCTGCTCTAAGAGCTGTAACAGTGTTTTAGCTGTCTATTGAACTTAGTCTGGGAGCTGACAAAGACGAGGGATGTTGTCTAAATTTGACAACTGGAGGAGTGTTCAGACTTTTTAATCATTTTTTTAAATGAAGAGGAGAGGTGATGTAGCACAATGTAACTTTGATTAAAGCTGGTTCATCCAGCAGGCTACTAGAATGTATTTCAACTTTGAATCTTTATATCAACTTATTTTTTGGTGACACTAACAAACTTGTGATTTTTTTTTTCGAAACTAGATTTTCTAATTAACCTGTGACACAGGAAAACGGATTACTTTTTGTTTTTCTAGGACTATTTTCAACATGTCTGTATGTGTTCAGAATAACTAATGATATTAAATTTTCCCTGCTTATTAAACTTGTTTTATTTGATGGGGGTAAAAAATGTATGTAAAAGGTTTAGCATGTGGCTTGTGGGACGCATGGTGGCCTTTTTGGATTTGCAGAGCAGGGGTGCCGGTGGAGAGGCAGTGTGTGAGGGCTCTCTCGATAAGTGATGTCATCTCATTTGCAGGGCAATGGCGGACGCTCATGTCTATTACTGTGGAATGCAAAGAATGTAGCCAGCCCTAAACATGGACCTTGTCACACATACAATGCAAAATGGACAGCAAAGGACCCTCTTGCTCACTTTTCAAAAGGACAACAAACATGGATGCTACTCCACAATGTTTAAGGTTGACTACAGAACTTTACCATTCATCCACACAATGCCTGAAAAAGTAAACAATGGACCAGTAAAGACAGATACACAACAACAGGACTGCATCCTGACAGATGGTGTCTGCTATGAATGTACACTTATTTGAAAGCAGCCTTGAGTTTCTGCAGTTACAGCAGGATCCGTTTTATGCACTCCACCTGGAAAGCATGATTGTTAAACTTAAATGTGGTCAGCATCTTCATGGAGACTGAGTATGGTAACAAGAAATTTGTTGGTTAAAGTCGAGGGGCATGTTTATTTATTGGCATGGGTTCCAAGATATGGCTGGCTTTTTTTTTATTTTGTTTAATGTTAAAAAAATATGCACAAGTGTGTAAATGTGATTGGACTTGATGCAACAACTGTCTCATAATGAATGATGAGCCTATGTGAACAATACGGCATCTAGTGTTTAAAAAAAAAAACAAAAGTATTCTATTCGTATTGCCCGACATTTTAATGTTTAATATGAGAATATTCTATTACCATGATGATAATCCTTGTGCAATTCTTGTCTACTGTTGTCTTAATGTTACATTATTTTTCTATGATATGCTGAGATGAAAACTTTGAGCCTGAGAATGATGGCAATCCTTTAAAAAAACTGAAACTAGATGTTCATACTTGTACAGAGAGTGAATGTTGCAGGTTGCTTGCTAACTCTTAGGTCAGGTCAACCTTCATTTCTCATGGGGCTCTATTATTATCTTGCAGATGTACTATTTTAAAAACAGTATTACTGTATTATTTGGATGAGACATTATCCAACTATAAAATGTATATAGATATTTTGCCAACTCATTGTTAATATATGTAAAGAGAAAAAAGATTTACAGTAAATGGCACTGGAAACAAGGTACCAAAATAAAGGCTGGACATTTTAAAAGTGGTAGTTTGTAGAGGTTGTATTTTGAGTGAAAATATGGATTATTTGGTAACATCACTGCTGATTTACTAATATATTTAGGCTTGGGCTTCCAGCACACTAATTTTTGTAATTTTGGCCATTATTTATATCCTTGTAAAAAGCACATGAAATAAAATCTGACTTGTACAACCATATTTTTAAGTTGTCGTGAATTTTATGAACCAATTCAAGTATTAAATATATAAATAAATTCAATAAAAATAATTTAAAAAACTAGAACAAAAAGTAATGTTTAGTTACCTATTGTGTTCCTTTTCTGAGAAATTTTGGGAAATTCGACRATGAAAACATTTCAGATTTTTGTTTTAAGTTTCATCTAAGTTTAAGTTTGGGTACATTATAAAATCATAAACTCACCTGTTCTTCAAAACTTGTTATAATGTCTTCCTTTTTTGTCCCAAAAATCTAAAAAACAGACGCTTAGTTATTCAACAAGCATTTGTACAAAATCATAATTAATTACAACATATTCTGTTTCACACACTTGGTAACAGATCATATGGTTTTACTGGCTTAAAATTTACTATTAAATTGTTAAGACCTTTAGGTAAAATATACATGGGGATGGTCTGAGCTGATCTACAAGCTTGAAGTTTTTTTATAATTTCTTTGTAGCTCCTGAAGAAAATGGTTCAGAATTTCTTTTTAATACAGATGAAGCATTTCCTTTAACAGAATCAGTCAGACTGACCCAACACCGCCTGAGATGATGCAAACATCAAACTGGATGTCCCTCATGGGATAAATGTAGAACCTGCAGAGGATGACCAAGAATTAAGACACATTAGACTTTATAAAATCTGATAAAATTAGTTTCCACACTTGTAAGTTTTTTTCATTTTCAAATTCTTAATTGGCTAAATAAACTATGCTGAGCTAAAACATCATGTTATCCTRGTGGTTAAGTAACGTGACTTTGGTGCTGGGAGATCAGGGTTCACAACCCAGTACTGACATTGGTTCCACATTATAATAAATACCATACTGAGTCTAACACATGAAACTTTCTGCACAGTTTTGAAAGAATTCTTCAATTCTGAGGTACTAAATAGCTAAATTTGGGTAGGTTAAAACTGCATGTGGGTTTCAAAATGTCCTGATGCATCTCAGTAATCCAGGTAAAAAATCAAAAGGAAAAAAATTGAATAGGTCCTCTGGACGGGTTCTTCTTTAAACATCATTAAACAGAGGTGGAGGCCTCCGTTTTCAGTTGTCCCCCTCCTACAGCGCTGCCATTGGCAGTATCACTCCACCCCTGTTAACAATAGGTATTAATTAGGTGTGAACGATAGTCATGTGATGTGAGTATCAGTCACATGGAGGCAGGACTCAAAAGCCTGAATTTTGCCTGAAACTCTCAGACTGAAGAAGTCTCTTGGAGGAGAGACGAAATGTTTCATTAAAGAAGAACCCGTCCAGAAGACCTATACAATTTTTTTCCTTTTGCATGTGGGTTAGTCAAATGGCAACTGGTGCAGCTCATCCCAGAGCCAACCTTAGTTCTTAGTTCCTCAACAAGCATCTGAGAGAAACCTGGTCACACAGGTTGGTGACGAAACATAAAGCTGCCATGGCTATGTCTGGTTGCCACATCAGGGAGTATTCACTTATTCAATCAATTTATTATCAGATTTAATAGGATCCCATGTTCTTAGTCTATTGTCCATCAACCCCCATTAGAAGAATCACTGTATTATAAAAACGAAATCAAATTTTCAAATATTTTCAATACTTAAGTGTTTTTGTAAGCACACACTACAATACTTTAACTTAATAATTTGACTGAGCTCCTTTTACTTTAATTGGAGTGATGCTGCAAATGGCATGAGTAACTTAATTTCAGGAGTTTTCTTGGCTTCAGGTGGAAAGTTTCAGATGTCTCTGCTCAGACTTTTGTCACTTCCTTAGAGAGACGATTGATGTGTGAAGGAGGAGTCACACATTGGACCAGAAACAGCAGCACTGTGGCTTTTCAAAGCAGGACATGTTTCAATGAACAGCTTCATTTCTATAAGGAGCCTTAAACCTGTTGAGTTCTTGAGTTTAGAGCAGATGTTCTCATTCTATAAGTTGTTGAAAAAACAAATCAGATGAAGTTTGACTCTTTTGTCTCGTTTGGTTGCTGTGTAAAATTTGAAGAAGGTTCTCCTTCAGAACATTAAGGGTGGTCTGAGGTTGACCATGAACAGCTCATGTTAGAACATAACTTTATGATCAGAAACATGGGTTCAAACCTCAGGATCATCTAACTTTAATGGTGACAAAYTCAAATGTTCTCAGAAATTACAGCAACTGTCAGAGAAAATRGGTCAGAGGGCTGGATGCTCAAATACCTCTAATGTTAGGGATTGTAGGTTCAAATCCCACCTGGAGATTAAATTGAGAAGTTTTCAAGGCACAMTGCCCTGTATGTTTCAGAYGTTTCACTGCTTTAACACACCTGATTCTGCTCAATGCAACTAAAGCCTGTTAATCAGCTATCAATTGAAATCAWCTGTGTAGAAGCAGAGAAATATCACATGCAGGGAGGTGTGCCTTGAGGATCGGGGTTTAAAAGCTTTGTTTAATCTAACAAACCTAAACATGAGACTTAAATTAACTCAAAAAAATGTTTTTTGAATCTGAACAAATCATTTTTAAGTTGAGTAATTAAAACTAAAAGTCAAAATCTTCTACATCARCCTTTCATGCTTTTGTCTGATGTTCATGTTCAGGAGACATCAGATCAAAGAGTAATTTGTTTTCTAGGGTTTTCACAAAAACCTAAAGTTAAAAGCACTGCAAAAACATCTGTGAGTGTCAAGCAGAATCAGTGTTTCTACAGTAAAATCCATGAACTCGAGACACCTCATTAACTAAACATCGTTCTACTCTTGCCTCCAGAACCACCAACAAWGTCCATCGGCCCCAGAGGCTTCAGAAGCAACAAACAACTATGTGTTGTTTTAAGGGTATTGTTCAATGTTTTTTAATAAAATAAGATTGGAACATTGAAGGTATATTGTGACCTTAAAACATGTTTCTGTGCAGCTTGGAGTTGGTACAGTGGTTAAGTTACACAGCTTTGGTGTGAGGGGTTCACGGATCAAATCCCAGTGCCAACCTCTGAGGGACCTTGAATACACAATACATGAGAGAGACAGACAGAGGCAGGTATACAGAGGTACAAGAGGAGAGCAGCTAGTTGAGCAGAAAGACAGACAGGTACAGGAAAGAAAACTGTAGTTGAAGGTAAATGTGAGTGACAGTTAGGTAGGTACATATACAGAGGCATAAGAAGACAGCAGAGATAGACAGGAAGAAAAAAGTGGTTCATTGGGAAAGTAGAAGTGAGAAACATTTACAGAAAGTGAGAGACAGATAGGACAAAAATGTTTAAGTGTGGAGAAGGCAGGTAAGAACAGATGTGTAGGGAGACAATGAGACAGGAAGGCTGAAAAAGGGGTAAAAACTTATACTGGAAGAGGTGAAGACACCTGTCTGGTCCTCTCACTCTATTCTTACCCTATGCTTTCTCTAGCAGAGATTTGCAAGACATAYATTCTCTTCACCTATATACCCCTATCTCTCTCTTTACATTTATGCTCTCCTATCTTCTCTTGTGCCATGTCCTTCTGTCTTCATTTACTCATCTACATTGCTGTCTGACTCTACTCTGTCTCTCACTTGTTATTCTCTCTCAGAGGTGGGATTTGATCCCTGAACCCGTCACACCAAAGTCGTGTGACTTAACCACTGTTCCAACTCCAAGTTACAAGGACATGTGTTTTTTGTGTATTTTAGGATGTGATTAAACAACAGATATGTTTATAATTGTTGAAAAATTTTAAGTAGGACATTTTGGTGTTGCTGGAAGCAGGATTTGAAACCACGTCCAACACCTGTACATGAACATGAACACATTGTCTTTCTAATCTGAGCCACTCAGACAGACACATGACAGGTTGATGTGGAAGATTTTGAATTTTTGTTTTAATTACTCAACTTAAAATTATTTTTAACAAGTATTGTGTTTAGCTGCAAGTAGGACTTGAACCCTCAACCTTCGTACTTCCATACAGCAGCATATTCTTTCAAGCTATTTGTTCAGGTTTAAGAAATGATCTTTGAGCTTATTTTAGCCTCATCTTTTGGTTTGTGAACTTAAAATTYTAACCTCAGAAGGGATTTGAACTCACAACCTCCAACATTACAGGTACTTGTTCATCCAACTGACCTACTTTCTCTGACAGCTGCTGTGATTTCTGAGAACATTTCAGTTTTTATTTCAAGATTGTCACCAATAAACTTTTATYTCTCAGACTCAGTTTACTATTATTGCAGTTGATGAAAATAATTACTCCCGGTTGAAATTGGTAACCAAACCTTCAAATGTTATTCTCTCAGGTACTTCCTAACTGCTTTGAGCTGTTTGTCTTGAGGTGTAAAATCTTTTCTGCTCATTCAGTTTCCTCTTTAAGTCAATCAGTTTCAAACGGAAACCTTTTCTGAGGAGTTGATCCAACATGTCTCACACTGGTTTAACTCTTCAACCATTTCTGTTGATTTAAGGCTTTTCATACGTTCTTTCCTCCGAAAATTTTCACCCAACTACCTTCTTACATTTTTATTTATTATATAATCAAAATAACATGTCATACATGTAAATATATAAATGTGTTAATTAAAAGCTAAAAGCTGCAGAAAACAGCAAGTTTACCATAAAGTGATTCAGTGCTCTCTGCTAGCAGGAGTTTGGTCACATGACCATGTGTGTGTACGCTAATGATGACGCTCTGAACATATTAACATTTGATACAAAGTTAATTTTTAAATACAAACATACCAGGAGGTCGAGGAATGGTTTCTTTGCGTTTCGTACTGTGGCGCAAACCATTACTGATGATGTGAATTTCTAGAAGACACTATGAATAAGTCTACATAAYATAACCCTGAAAGGTTACTACCCAGGACTGATCAGACAAGTGACCTACTGCAGGGCCACAAGCTCAACCTTCGCTTTAATGCTCCTGGCAGTTTTCATGGTGRCTACATTTTTCCAGACCCACACTGTCTCACAATAAAGAAAACAGAACACCGAGTTGAACTTATTTGTAAACATATACACAACATGAACAACAAATAAATCAAATGACAAATTGCTACACAGCCTAATTAGTTTCATAAGCTGGTGAAGCTTTGGACACCCTGTGCCAGCTACAATACACAACTGCTACCTTGAAACATACCCAAATTTAAATTTACAGTAAACATAAATAATTTATTTCCCAAGACTCAAAAGTCACAGGTGGCAAATCCATAGTGCAGCGCGGTTTAACAAATGTAGGAACCATTTATTTTTAAAAAATTAAACTTCAAATAAAAGCTCAAATATGAACAATTAACCAACCACTAAAAAAACCCACTGGATTAACCTGTTTATAGAATAAAATMTTTAAAGCTGAGCAGTGAGGGTTTGAAATGATGGATATTTAACAGTTACATCACATTATGTTCCAACTATATTTTAATATTCTTTACTCAGGTCACTGACTTTAAGTCACAACCAAGTGAACTAGTATGSTTATATTTTTAGGGAAAATTGACAGTTTCACAGATTTGCACTTTTGTAATCATAGTTTTCAAGGTTTTCCCCATTTATGTCCTGATGCATCTCAGTAATCCAGGCAGAAAAAAAAAATCAAAAAGAAAAAATAAGTAGGCCCTCTGGATGGGTTCCTCTTTAGTGAAACGTTTCATCTCTCCTCCAAGAGA